GTTACTAAGCGATACTGGTAATTAGTGAATCCCATTTAAGTCTCACATTAACAGACTCACAGGGATACCGCAATTGAGTTTGGAGGAGCCGACCATTCGGCATAACAATTGATTAATAATCAGCATTAAATAATAATTAATTAAACTTTAATTAATTCAAACATATTGGTGGAGAATATTAAAATTTATTTGAGCTATTAATTCCTACACACATGATTGAAATGATTATGTCGTTGGATTCAAGCAAACGGCATTAAATACTACCAGTCAAATGAGGGATCAGAGCTATACATTAGTGCTGAATAAAAACACTGAAAGATCAAAAAAACTGAATTTCAGAGCTGAAACTTTTGTCCAAAAAAACATGCAACACCCATATTAAACCTACGACAAATATATTAATACCGTACCAATATAATACTCAAAATATCAGTGTAATACAAAAAAAATAAGTAAAATATTTGCTATTCTGCATAACAAGACAAAACTCATGTGTTCAATGTCAGTGAGACAGATTCTTGTGACATTTTAACATCAGAAAATTAAAAACTAAATAAAGTGACATTAGGTCAGTTCCATCTATCCATCATCATAACCGCTTAATCCCAACTGGGGTCACGGGGGGACCGGAGCCTCATTCCCATTTATGATCTTAAAATATCTGACCACCATAAAAATGACTTATTCATAAGTACTCTTATTTTTTATAGTACAAATAAAGTATACCTTTACATCAGGCAAACGTTGATATACACTCAGTGACAAAAAAGTGAAGCACCAATAAGTAATGGTCCTTATTTGGATGTAATTTGGGCTACCAGGCCAGTCTGGCATTTATTCCCCCTCCATCTGGTTCAACTCACTACCAGGTGGTGATCAGTTGACGGCTTAGCTCCTCTCTTCACCTGAGTATCCAAGACATACGGTCACAGATCTGATGATACAACTACAAAATCAATCAATGATCTAAGGTCTAAGGTATCCTGCTGCCAGATGCCTTATGAACAGTCTTATGTTAAAACATGGTGTTCCATATGCTGTGAACTATAGCTAGCACAATAACAGTGCACCACCCTTGTTCAAATTGGGCTGGCCGTTCCTCCTAATCACACCCCTCCAAATTTCATTGTTATTACCCATATGAGCATTAAAGGCCCCCAGTGGAACAATGGAGTCCCGAGAAGGGGCCCTTATAGAAATCCCACCCAAAGTCTCCAAGTAGGTCAGATATTCTAAACATACATTTGTTGCATAGACAGAGACCACAGTCAGAGCACATTTCTAGACTCGAAGTCGAAGGGAGGTGGCCTTGTTTACCGGCGTGACTCCAAAATACTGGCACCAAACCGGGGGTCTAGTTGGCTCACACCTGCTCTGCACCCATCACCCAGGGCAACTCCAGAGTGGAATAGAGTCCAGCCCCTCTCCAGGAATTTGGTTCCTGAGCCTGTGCTGTGCGTTATCCTGAACTATCCAGACTATATCTAACTCAAGGTTCTTTCCCACCTGAGAGGTTATGTTCCATGTTCATAAAGCCAACTTTGAGGATTGGATTGGTCCACCAAGGCCCCTGCCTTTGACTGCCACCTGATCCACATAGCATTGGACCCCCACAGCCCCCCCTGCTGGTGGTGGTCCCACAGGAGGGGGGGCACCTGTAATTTTGTTGGGCTTTGCTACTTACGTGAATTCATAATGGTAATGAGTACAAATAAAATATTTTTAATAGGCCAAGCAAATAATTCAGTGGATATAACATTAAAATTGCTCTAGCAGATATATTGTTTGAAACATCTATAAAAACAATGTTTTCACATAGTTAAGAGCCCATATTTTTATACAATATACACTTGCTGAATATTTTATGTACAAGTCATTTGTTCCTATTTTGCTTTCATCAATTGCAGCAAGACCTCAAGGTACAGAACAACTCTGACATCATTCCATTGAGGAAGGCAGGATCTAAATCAGCAAGGGGATCTTAGCAGGCTGCTGGAAAAAGTCATTTGTTTTTGTGAGCTGCAGGGACTATCAGGCCAGTGGGGTGATCTTAAGCAGCATGCTTCAGCTGCCCTCTGCCACCATACAATCAAACATCTGGTAATGGAAACATCCAAGTTATCAGGGGAGCGACAGCGGTGGAAGACAGAAAAAAATCAAAATAATGTGCTGTAGTTCAGAGGTTCTGATGGAGTGGCCAGACCACAGCTGGTGCTGCTAACGTCAGAGGGAGCAGACATCTCAATGCTGGGGCTTATTTGCAGGGCACGCCGCTGTGCATAGCGCTCAGTCCGGTGGATCTCCAGGTAGGGCCCCCACTTGTCCGTCGGGGTACAAACCACTTTACAGCGCTACAAAACACAAAGTATTCACCTGCTCAATGCATACAGATGATCTGATTTATCACAATAGGTTAGTCTATAGAAAGTATGTAACGTTGTTGGTTGTTTTCATATGATTTGTTCGTTTTATATCATTATATTTATATTACAATATTGTTTATATTTATATTATCATCTAACCACGTATCCAGTATAAGGCCATGGTGGGGGCTCATTCCAGACAGTACTGGGCACAAGGAAGGGGAACACCTTAGATATGATGCTAGGAGTCCATAACAGATGATGTAAAGTCCACACACAAACTGAGTGAGATATAAACTGCCATCCCACAAGGCATTACTCACTGAGCCACTGGGCTGACATGCATTACTTCATGCTTAAGCCATGGTTAAGATCTTTAGCCACTAAGAAATCAGCTGAGGAACACTTTTAAAAAAGTCCCTAAAGAGAAATTGACAAAGTGCATGGTAATTTTCTTTTGTTTTCTTCTTCTACAGCTGAGAAAAGAGTCTACTGCAGAGTCCATCATTTTAGTACAATCCAACCGCAATACCATAAAAACATATCTTACCTGCCAAAGGCTACCATCAGCCTTCCACAGCTTCCACATAGATACAATGGGGATCCAAATAAGGCAGAATGTAAGGAGGCACCACCCAAGGGACAAGCCCCATCTGGGATAAACCACTGAGCCGTAGGTCGGGGGGGTGAAGCTGGACAATGACCAAACCAGAATCACCTGGGGAAGCCCATGCAGAATTGTATGAGGGAGGGCATGTAGAATGAAAACAAGCCAGATCATTCTGACCAAGTCTGGGTTTATATTTCTGAGGCTCCACTCAAAAAGTCACTTTGGGCCCCCCCACCCCCCAGGGTACTGACTATTTGTTTTGGCTCCAAGCAAATCTGTGATTTAAGCGGCGGTAAACACCACCATTGATCCAAAAAGCCCTGTATTTACTTGAATAATAAATAATGAAAAAGACAACACATGTAGCCATGAAAATGGTTAACTCACTGAAAGCACACATGGGGTGATGAATAACCAGCAGGCTCTCCACCACAGCCAGAAGAGGGCGCTCCTAGTCCCTATCATCATCTCAATGTCTTTGATAAACCGGTTTGCCCCTGCAGAAATGATCGGGATTAGACACAGACTTAGAGCAGAAAACATGGAAGATACTTGCGTTTCATTTAAAAACAAAGGAAATTCACCGTAGATATAGGACAATCCAATGAGCTCCAGCAATGCAGTGACCAGCAGTATCCAGCCAGCACAGAAATGGTCAAGCAGTTTCACCCAGTATATTCCTGCCTAAAAGACCCAGTATATGCTCAAATTAGACATCTGCCGTAATTACTGGGACCTATCGATAAAATGTACACATACATAGCATTTCATTACTGTGATTGCTGATGTTATTGTTTTTGTTAGGGAAAACCATGCATCTGATGGGGAATAACAGCCAACCCATAATTTTTGCTCTACCTACTCTGGTGACACAAGGCAGACCAATCAGAAAAAGGATGGCACAGGTTGCTACGGTGATGTGGAACCTCTTTGACCTGAAGAGCCTGGGAAAAGCGTCTTGAATGGAAGTTGTAATAGTTTCTGTGGAACATATGACATAGTTATTTTAAACCTAGTGAGCACATGTACGTTTTTATTTACTGTTTTAAAGTGTAATTTTTTTTTTTTTAAAGGAATTTTTCAATGTATAACTATAATCCAAATAATTTATTTTGGTATTCAAATAAAACAATCCATTTATACCATAAATTATGTAAAAAATGCTGTACAATTATGCTACATAAGTTAAGATTTTTCAAAGGCCTGATACATTTGAAGTTTAATTAAATTAATGTGTGGTTAACGTGTTGAACTTTGCAAAGGTCTGCTACAATGACCATTGATAAATTACTGAATGTAGCAAGAGATGATGCAGACAGAGCAATGCAGACACCGCAAAACTCACCTATACTAGCAAACTGTGAGTCCAAACCAAGGGTGAGCAGCATAAAGAAGAAGAGGATGGACCATAATGGAGATACAGGGAGTTTTGAGAGGGCTTCTGGGTAGGCAACAAAAGCCAAGGCAAAGCCTGTACGCACAAAAGGAGCACCTACTTTAATACACTGAAAGTGAGAGTAAAAAAATACACACAGACATAGATTATCACCTATTTATCTGACTAACAAGCATCTGCGGGGAGACTTCTGACTAGAGGTTGGATCCTGAGAGACCGAGCCTTTATAAGGCAAAGAAGAAACCACAGGGAGCAAGAAACAGACAGCTCAAGTAAGAGGCACAGCCTGAGATACACAGCCTGAGACACACAGCCTGAGACACACAGCCTGAGATACACAGCCTGAGATACACAGCCTGAGACACACAGCCTGTGATACACAGCCTGAGACACACAGCCTGAGATACACAGCCTGAGACACACAGCCTGAGATACACAGCCTGAGACACACAGCCTGAGACACACAGCCTGAGATACACAGCCTGAGATACACAGCCTGAGATACACAGCCTGAGACACACAGCATCACCATCTGAAAGAAGGAGAACACAAGGGGACCGTCTGGACATCATGAGATGTGACTTCGGAACACATTCTGGTGTGAATCAAGAGCAAAAGACCATATTTACTAAACATGAAACATATCATTTAGTCAGCTGAGGATGGTGGTGGGCTGTGTTAAAATAAAGAGCCTCTTTCATTCTAAGAGCGCATGTCTTGATGGGCTCACCTGACTCAACAACTTCAGGCACTGGCTTCTCGTACACATGGGCCATGTGGCCCAGTATGGAGAAGATAGCAAAACCAGCAAAGATACTGGTGCCACAGTTTGTAAGGCAGACGATGATGCAGTCCTTGTAACAGTTGTTCTTGAACTTGTTGTAGGAAGAAAGGGCTGTCAGTCCTCCCCAGGCAACCGAGAGAGAATAGAAAATCTGCGTTGCGGCATCTCTCCACACCTGGAGCGGAAAAAACACTCAGCCTGCTTCGGCATACTGTGTGGTTACAGCCACTAAAACGAGGCCAATCCTTTAGCCTGGTTACTCATATTCTTACAGACTGTACTCCTGCTCAGTTGATTGTCACACTTACAGTGTCAAATTTGTTTGATTCCTTGCTTGTTTTGGTTATTGTTTCTGCAAATTGCAGTTTTCAGTTGACTACATCATGATTTCACTACTTCCTTACAGAGTTCCAACTTGGCTGGTGTGAGATTATCAATTTGAGACAAGTCTGCACACGCATTTACATGTATGTAACAGTTTTATTACCTCGTAAATAGTCTGTAGGGCCGGCAAAATACCCCAACACTTTGGATGTAGCTAGTTAAAGGTTTATAATGGAATAATAACAATTTTCCAAAATTTGAGAGTGAGAGTCTGAAAGCCATACCAGATGCGTGAGAGTTACCAACCCTGTCTTTAGGGGATCTGCACATGGTTTTTACACATAACAAGCATAAAACAACATAAGCATACATTAAGCACATTAATAAATCTCATAGATGAACATTAGAGTTGTGTCACATAAGATACATGAAAGTTCTCTGACCTCCGCTTCCATTAGCTTGGTCAGATTGGACTGGGAGCCAATATAGTACTGAATCCCATCTCTGGCTCCCTCCAGAGTCAGTCCCCTCACCAAAAGTATGAAGAGAACCACATAGGGAAAGGTTGCAGTGAAATACACCACCTGTCAGGTAGCAAAGATGAGGGAGAATTTCACTGTACAGATTTAATACCAACCAATCGTAAAGTTCATCCTCAAACAATGTTCTTGTAACCTTTTAAAGTTGTTGGAGGTCTGAATACTGTAGCATTTGAAACCAGCATACTGTAGATTCCAGCATCTAACATTAGCATCATAATAATGTATTAAATAACAATCTTGTAACTCATATCTAATGTTGGATGATAATGTTAATTTTATAAAGTTGTGATACCCGCTGTGTGAAACTGTCTCTGCATCCATGCCTTCAGTGAAGAAGTTTTGGTGACCTGTGAGTTTGCTTAAAAAGATCATGGATTTGAGGATCTCTTTTTTTCCAAAAATGTTTTAATTAGAAGAACTTTCTATGCCAGTGGTGGCCTAATGGTTGGGGACATGCTGGTTCGAATCCCTGACCAGCAAGGTACCGCCCCCAAGCACTGCACCCTGGGTGCTGAATTAGCTGCCCCAAGCTATGTCATGATGTCACATATGGGTTAATTCAGAGGACACATTTTGTTGTTGTGCTGTGTTGTGTCAACAATGACTAATCACTTCAACACCCCATTTTGTAATGGAAAAGGACGGCAAGTGTAATTTGTTTGTAGTAATTGTCAACATTTTCTCTCATATTGGGATTAGCCCAGCTGTCATCTAACAATGATTCTGTCGGTATTTGCAAAGTGTCCCACGTAAAATACTCACTTTCCCAGAGGACTTAATGCCTTTGTAAAGGGCTCCACCGATAAGCACCCAGGCAAGCAAGAGGCAGAGTCCCAGGGGCCACACGATCTCTCCAGTCTCACCCAGGCCCCCCGAACGCTGGAGCACCACCTCACTGCAATGGCAAAGTGTTTTTATAATGGCGCCATGACCCGCATGTGTCTGGGGGGGGCAGGCTGTAAACATAAAGCTGTTGAATGAATATCCTGCCTGCACAATTACTTCACAATGTTAATATCAGAAACCACAACCACAAGTGACTTCAGGGTAAGGCAGCGTCAAAAACAGCACAACTAACAAGAGAAGTGAACAAACTTCTCACGGGAAAAAGTGTTAGAAAATAAAGTACACACCGCCTCTGCGTGTTATAAAACTAAAGCAAAATATAGCGATACAAAATTCAAATGGCAAAAACACCGAAACAAATCAAATCACGTTTGTAACATTATGACATCATTATGACATTAACACCCTCCTAAACTAGCCGTTTTCGCTTTACTTGGAGAAGAAGCCAACCCATTCCTTGTTGAGGTGGGACTTTCTTCATGTGGGCAAATAAGAAATTCAAAGAACTTCAAAGGCCAGAAGTTAGTGTGATGTGAAAGGTTTGTCCAATCTAGGTCTCTATGACTGGGGTCATAACGTAGGAAAAAGGGTCTCATTCACTGCTGGACCAGCTTTAACAGGAACAGTTACAGAACCAATTAGACTATTAGGGGTTCAACTCAATGCCGTGGTCGCATTTATATTTTGCATTTGGTGACTGCACATTTACCAAATGCAATTACAAAGATAGCTAAACCACTTTTTATAACATCATTTCAACAACGCATAGATGCAGAGTAAACATAACAGTTGGGTAAGTAGTTATAGAGAATGGTTGGAAGGATGGATGGTTTCAAAGTCAGCAGTAGCCACCAGGAACTCATCAAAGTGTGATATTACAGCTCCCATCAAAAAGAGCTGTAATTTCAAAAGTGGGGCTATGTAAGTCGATTTGGTCACAACACGCCCTGCGGCCGAATCCCACAAAACCACTACGGCAGGATAATTGGCACTTACTTCCAGTATCGTTCACTGGGGTTTTGCACGGGTACACTGCTGATATTTGCTTCTGGAAAGGTGGTGTTCTGCATCATGTTCACCACACTGCTGCCGTCATCTGAGGTTGTAATGTGCATGAATCGGAGTTAACGAAACACCTGTGGTCTCTGCTGAGGGCCAGGAGACCCTTGGATTTGCACCGTGTCGCACAGGATTACACACCATAGCAATAGGCATATGTCTTTGTCTAATGCAGCTGGTGTCACTTGTAGGTTTACCTCTAGGGGTCAGGCTGCAGTTCTCATCTGACCAAATAGCATAGTTGCTCCAGGGTAATGGTGATTGGAAGGATGCAAACATGTAGTAGATGCTGTAGGCTATAATAACATTGTAGTAAATTGCTACTAAACTGCTCACCAGCACCATCGTGATCCCCACACCTGTAAAAAAATATATGTTAATTACAGAATGCCACACTGCAATTAAGATAATATAATATAAACCACACCAAGACGGCAGGACACTTTGATGACATGGTTCAGTTTCATCACCCGCCTTGCATTATGGGTACAGCCATCCAGACGTTGATAGGCCCCTGACTGCAGAATTGGCCGAGGGAGCACTCCATGAGGAAGACGGGCAGTCCGGCCACCAGCAGCATGGTGAAGTAGGGGATGAGGAAGGCCCCTACAGGGAGACAAGTGCTGAGAAGGACTTTTAGCAGACTTTGTCCTTTAATGGACTGCAATGAATCAGTTCAATTCAATTCAACTGTATTGTCATGGTAGTATACAAAGGCACATTTATAATGAGTGCCTTGTGACTCCTTGAGCTGATGCAACAATTTTAATAATAGAATAATAGAATAACATAGAACAATGGTAGAACAAAAAATAAAATAACAGAATAACATTATAATTAAAAGTATATATAAGTTTTTGATATAAAACAGACAATTATGTATATCTTCAAGAATGAAAGTACAAATGCAGAAGTGCAGTAAAAGCTTAACAGTAAAACAAATATATAAAACAAATATATAAATATGGCAAGGTATAAACGTTGAGTTCTGTAAACAATCGTAACGGGTAATGAATATATCAGCAAACATGTATATAAGGAGGGCAGTATAGTACAGTATTGAAAGTGCATTGCAATATCAGGGTACACTAGAGATAGTAACCAGCTTAATCCTAAAATAAAGTAATTATCCTGAAAACCTCTAATCGAGGGAGCAAGCATGTTACTCTTTCAGATGACACAGCAAAAAAGTAAAAATAAAATGTATAGCCTATGTTTCAATAAATTATCATCAATCAATCCATCCACCCATCCATCCATCTTCCAATCACGTATCCTGGTCACATTCTGATACCAAAGGCAGGATGACCTGAAGGAGCTCACCTCCCCCGTTTCTGTAAGCCAGGTAGGGGAACCTCCAGACGTTCCCGAGCCCGACCGCGTAGCCTATCATGGACAGGATGTACTCCCGCTTGCTCGCCCAGTTTCCCCTCTCCACATTCTCGTCTCTGCCGCCGCTGTCGTCCTTCTTCTGACAGACACCATTCTGAACATCAGGGTGCTGATTTGGAATACAGAAGTTCAGAGGCGGTTTCTGGCAGTTTGAAGTGGTGTGTGACAGATGGGGGACCACAGTACATTTACACTATATCAACATAATGAAACATGCATGAAACAAGAGCATAGATTCGTAGCTGGCATGAATGGATAACCATTAAAAAAAAAACTCAGACAGTGTTATGGATGCAGTATTATTTATCATAGAATAATATTAGTATACAACATGGACCGGATAGCAGTCTATGGCAGGACACATTTACATGCACACATTTAAACACTCATACACCATTGAAAATTTATTTTTTAAAAATATATATAATACATTATAGCAAATACAGTTGTACATTAAAGTGGTTCTTCACGTTATTTGACTGTGCACCTGTTCTATTTATTAAAACAAAATAAAGAGTGAGCATCCTTACCCGCTCTGTGTCGGGATTTTTAAATATAAGGTATGAGAAGTAGTTCAGGCCCCTCTTGGTCATTGCGGACGGTCACTGTAGTTTGTCAGGACAATAGCCGAAGGAAACTCTTTTTAAGGCACCTGCTCCACCCCGCAGAATCATAGCACTGCTGTCACTGGATGAGAACTGAAGACCTTTTCATCAGGCACCTCATTAACATTACTCATTATGGATTATATATATATAATGCCGGGCTGACTTATTCACTAAATCATCTATTCCAGCATATAAGTCCAGTTTATATTTTTCTTTAGTTGTTTCAAAACATAATAAAGTTAAGCTGAATATAATATCTTATCATGACTACTTCATATTGTCTGTTGTCAAAGCATGTTTCACTTACATGGGAAGTACGTATTTTAGGCTTGCTGGTTAGGAAAATGTGGTTGATGACAACGCAAGAAGAACGTGTCACCGTATTTACAATAATGCGCACGAAGCCCATTGCTCATATTTAATGATTAGATGAGCACTTTTTGAGGGTACAGGTGGGGGATAAAGACTCATATCAACAGGAGGTTTAAGACAAATTAAAAGACTTTGTGTATCCCCATGCATATCGCCAAATGGACAGCAACCGCTAAATGTTAGTCCTGAATACGATCTAAAAAATAATGAAATATGGATCATTTTCCTTTGTAAGCAGAACCAAAGAGGCACGGTGAAGCACGGCCACATATAACTGACCCCCGATTACCACTCCAAGCAAATTTTTCTGCAGGCGTCTCTGTCTTTCACTGGCGTGCACAGATAGAGACGAGGTGGTGCTGAAGCACTTGCCCTTTTGCCCTCAGTCCAAAAAAGTGCCCTTTTGAAAGACGTGAT